TCTCTCTCTCTCTCTCTCTCGGGACAGCAAGTCAAATCGAAAACATCTATTAATACCAGCCTTTTCTTTTTCTTTCTTCCATGGGCGAGGAGGATATAATATGCAATTGTTTTCAAAATCTGAAACCCCTCCACTGAGACCAACATGATTTTCCATCTCGGTTTTAAAGGTTATCTAACCTCGAAGGGCCCCAAACTCACTTCCTCTTTTGTCCCGTTTCTAAAACAGCGGGTCATGCTGGAAAAGTCGGGTCGCCTTGGATGGAACTTTACTAGCTCTCATCCCGATTGCAATGACCGAAATTTAGCCTCCTGTGGGAAGAGCGCTACAAATTTTATTTTTTTTAAACCCAGGGGCCAAAGAAAAAATAGACGGGTGGCGAAAGAGGACGGGGAAAACTGGATGACTGATACCACATTATCAGTAAGTCTGAGATTTTGACGGGCTTCTTTTTTTTTTTTTGGTTCGTTTTCGCCGAAAGATTAAATATTGTCTAACAAGATTTTCCCTTTAAGTCTGATCGATCTGGCTCTCGCAACCACTGTATCTCTCTCTCTCTCTCTCTCTCTCTCTCTCTCTCTCCCTCCCTCCGCAGCCAAAAAAAAATCCCACTAGGGTTGAGTTGTGCAGGTGCTGATCTCAAAATTGCATGAATAGTGCGTGTGGTGAGTCTGGAAATTTTGGCGCTCCGATGAACTTTTGCCGTGACTCACAACATGACCGTCTAGACGGAATTTTACAATTTCTTCTGTTTTAATCGAGTGCATTCTTACACTTTACTCCACAGCCGAACTTGAAAACGGAATGGAATACCACACTTTGATTTGATTCGCAAACGAAGAAGTACAAAACTTCTAATTTTCTTTAAAAAACGTATAATACATGTAATTTAATTTTTTAAAATAAAACATTAAAAAACGTGTGCTCACTCTTGAGTTTTGGCCGTGTTCTTTGTCCACCAGCACAATTACAGTAGACGCAGCCAAAGACTTTAAACTGTAGGTGGTTGGCGGATGCTCTGGCGCGGTTCGCTACTTCTTTCCTATCAAAGACCTTTCGTTCCTTTCTCTCCTTTTTTTTTTTTTTTTTTGTTACTCTCATGTAACACCTTCAATCTTCGGCACTTATATGACCGTACTGTGTTGCGAAAGCTGTAATGTAAAACTGTTACTAAAACTAGACTTTAAAATGGTCACTGAGCTGAGCGACCACAAAGGACACTGAAAAAATATACATAATCAATATCTCTCTCTTCTCTCTCTCTCTCACACACACACACACACACACACACATACACACACACCATGTTATTTGTCTGCCAAGCGGTCCAAACACGAGCGAGTACAGAGTTAATCTGAAAAGAGTACAGCGACGATACATACGGTAAATAAAAAGAAAACTCTCTGTCCTCTCTTTTATGCTCTCCTCCCCCCCCCCCCCCCCCA